CAGCGACGTCCACAGAGGACAAGATCACGCACTTACCACGTGTCCGCGCACGCCCAGCTCGGCGTGCACGGAGACTACCTCGACGTCAACGCAGTCAGCACAACGCCCCCGCCTACAAACAACACGCTCAGCACGACGACACGGCCAGCACGGACAAACTCACCTGGCCACGACCACGACGAGCAGCGAGCAACGAGCAGCGAGCACAGAGGACAAGAAAACGAGCACAGGGCAAGCACGAGCGGACACCGACACCCCATCCCCACCCCACCCACCCTCTTATACCGCCCCACTTCCGGGCAGGCTCTCGCTCCCGGCCGGACACACGCACGTACTACGTGCACCCTCCCCCACTTCGCCCCTCCCCTCCGCGCCCTCGCAACCCGTCCGCCCGCCCGCCCGCGTACGCGGAGATGAGCGCCCGCCACGCACGCTGTGCCTGTACCGTACAGGGTGCCAGGGCGCATCTCCGATCTGCGTCCGCAGGGTCGGCGCACCGTGTCTGCGCGGACTTTGTCGCCAGATCCGGCGCGGCGCGCGGCGCGCGGGGACGCGCGGGACGGCTGGCGAGGCGAGGCGAGGCGAGGGGCGCAGGTTGCTGCACCCCGGGGGAAAGTGCGAGAGGAGCGGACGTGTCTGGACGTGGCGGGGCGGGGCAGGGCGGAGCAGGCTACATTCAGCGACGCTCTACCTCGGGGTCACGACCGTACCGCTCACGTCGATGCGGCGTGCCGTGTCGAGCGCGGAATCGTCGCGCCGCACGGCGATGGACCCCGCCGTGCTCGGGCGCGGGGTCGCTCGTGTTCTGTCCTCTCCCGCCGCCGTCCTGCAGCCCCCGGCACGGCGGGAACGTGTCTCGTAGTCCGCTGTATTCATGTACGCTCACAGAATAGATTCCGGCGCGCCCGCCGTCGACGTCCCCAACACGTCCTGCATGTATCGCCTCGAGGCTTCATCGCCGTGTCTATGTCCGGGACGCACGTCCTGCTGTTAACGAGCTGGCCCAGAAGACGAGCGCACGTCGGCTCGAACGCACGCTCGCCGACGCCGAGGGGGATGCGAAGGAGGCAGGACACGACGCCCGCCGCTCGATATTCGAAGGATGCTGGCGACGCTGTGCGCATGCGCGCGGAGACTACACACGGACGCGGGGCACGCTGTACGGCGAGTTCTGCGAACGGCGCGTGCACTCGCCGTGGGCACCCGATGCAGGGCCTCCCCATCCCGCTCACGAGGCACATAGACCATCCCAACCCACCGACGGAGCGCACCCTGCGCCCGCGCACGCCCTGCCCGAATCGTCCGCGCATGGCACGCCGCGGAGAACGCCCACGACGGAGCCTGGGAGCCCCGTTCACGACAAGGCCATGAATCATCCATCTGCAGCCGCGCGCGACGTTCAGGCGGGACCGGGAGCAGTATTCCTGCCGTCTCGTGGGCCAAGGCGTGGAATGCACGTCGTGCACTAGACGATGCGTCCGGGGACGTGCCATACGCTGTGCAAAAGCTCGTCGGGAACGGGGAGGCGGGGAGATGATTTGTGTCGGACAGCGTGTATTCGCATGGAAGGTACGTACGCGTGATCCTCTTCAAGCTCAGGATGGATTGCTGATGTGGTTCTGCTGTAGGTGTGAGCACTGTGTATCGCGTCCCTGACGTCTTGTATGTGCTCTGAGAATATGGGAGATGCTCTCGTAAACGACCGGCTGAATACTCACCGGCAGTGCAGTTGCATGAATACTGCGAGCTCAAACCCGAGTTCTTCATTCGCTCCTGGAAAGTGTGCTCGTGATGCGGGAGAAGACACGAGGCTCGACTCGTCGCCGCCGCGTCCTTGCACGTCTACTTAGTACACGCTGCGAGGTACGCACTCAGGCTAGCTTGCCTGAATCCCTCTGATTTCCTGCGCACCACGATCAGCTAGACTCAGTACTCGGAGTAGTTGCGACCTCGGCCAGCACTACTTCTTCGCGCTACGCCCATGGAAGTGTGTATCTCGTGGTCAAGAGATTCTGCGATTAGGCATGGCGAGCCGGAGACTCACTCGACAAGTACGGCGGACGAGGGCTCACAACACGACCACGCGAGGCGAGCACGGCGTGTTTTCCGCATCAGCACAAGGTCGCATGCTCTCGCAAACGCCAGCCGTCGCGTTCGCGAATGCGACGAGCTCGACTTTGTATCCGCCGAGGAGACTCGCTCGCACGTCCGCGATGTGGTCTCAACGCCCTCCAGCAGGTACGTTCAGCTAGAAGCAGTAGCATGGTCGCCCTTGTTGACACGCTTGTAGTGATCTCTCCAGGAGCCTCTCCTCTGGGAGTGCGCGCCTTCGATTGCTCGTACTCGCTGCCGGTTCCCATGCACGCGCTCGCGGACCGCGGTGCTCGTTCCAAGCTACGGGGCCTCGCGACAAACTCGTACCCAACCGCGCAAACTTGCAGCGTCGATATGCACGTTCGATAATGTTTCTAGGCTGCGTCCAGGGCCGTTGGACACGTTTGGCGAGCTCCTGTCTGTAATACACCACTCTGGAGCTCTCGTACGCGCGCAGGATTGTCTTCTCGAGACGTCGTGCACGTCTCGAGAGCCCTCCAGCAGGTACGTTCCGTCAAATATGGTGCCGTCGTGCTCGCTCACGCCCTGATGACGAACCTGTCAGACATCTCTCCTCGGCGGGCTCCAGCCCTCGGTCTCTTGTGCACGCTATACCTACTCGTGCACACGCCTGTAGATGACGGTACGAGTCCCTGTCTGCTTGCGCGCGCCGCGGATGCCGATTCCTGTGTGCGGGATTGGGGCACAGACTCGCGACGTCAACATCCGCATTCGACGACGCCTAACGCCCGCGTCCACATGCCCCGCCAAGCCCCGGGCCCCATGCTCAATGCAACAGCCCCCGCGACGCTCGCATGCGCCGCGGCGTCGTCATGATGCGGCCTCCAGCTCGTTTCGTAAGATGAAATCGGTGCGTCCCTGCAATCCGGAGGCGTCTTCGTTCGGGCGCGAGGTGCGCAAATCCCGCGTCTGCCACGCACGCCGTTGTCTCAAGCTTACTATCCCTGTGACAGGCGTGGGGATCGTATGAAATACCCGTCGAAGCGTCTCGTTTCGTCGCGCTCAGACCACAAGACTGCCTCCAAGTTGCCGCTCCTCATAGATCCTACATTTGTCTCGAACATGTGGTTCAGCTCCGTGGGGCTCCTGTCTGCAGCGGCGCGGCGCGCCGTTGTCCATACGATCCTGTATTAGAATCAGCTTCGATATATTTCCGAGTCCCCGTGCCTAATTCTCCTCGTGTGGGAACACGAACAGCGATTGCGAGCGCGAATAAACAACTCCCGACGGATTACCGGTTGCCAGAAGAAACTATTGGTCTTCTAGGTTGTGCGCGCACATCTTGACGATCTCGCGAGCTGCGGTGTGGCATTTCGCGGGTCTCTGCTCCTGTTTCAGAAGGAAACCAACCGTGTCACTCGAGACAACTGCTCGCGGGCGCAAGTCGCTGCCCGCGCGTCCGATCCCCGCGCATGCCTCATGCTCGCGCCAGCGGAGCTATTCAGTCCGGAGCCTCGTTGTCGAACGGAGGAATAAGATATATTGTGACTATTGGACGAGCCACGCAAACTCCGAACCGATGCAGGAACATCACCATTTCCGTCGCGTCGCAAGCACGACCATTCGGTCGGAACCCCGGGAGAGCGGCCTCCCAATGACGGAAGATCCGCTCACTTGTGAACTCCGGTCGTCTCCGCGTTGGTCCCCGTTTCACGGCCGTAGAGGACACGCTGCCTGCGGTTTATTGCACGTCTCGATGCCATGCAGTGGCGGAAGTCTGTTAGAAAACAACTGAAAGGCGGGGCGGACCCTGCTTGATGTACCACTGGCACACATCAGGGACCCGCATTTCTGAGCGATAGTACTCTTGAGAATGCACGAACTCACGAAGGGGTAGAGACAGACAAGAAGGCGCGTCGCGGCGCGTGGGGCGGCGTTGTGTGAAGCTGTTCTAATTGTGAGCGTCGTGCACCATCCAACGAGAGTTTCGAAGGCGTAGAGCTGCCGCCGTGATCGGACGATATCGCTCCTCGCGTACGCGCTGTCGCGTGTGACCAGGGGAAGCCTGTACGCCAGTCAATAACTTTATTGTCTGCCCCTGAATCAGACAACGTACGACGCAGTTCCCGCCGTGTTTGTGCGTTACGGGGATAATATGTGGCGGCGACACCGCCGCCTGCGTCGCCGTCACCACCACAAGTCAGCGCACGTGCTTCCTCGCGACTTCCACCAGGACATAGCGCGTGTGATTGAGGTAGAATTACCGGCGTGGGATGCGGGCGGGTCGTGCAAGTCATCCACTAGCTGCTGAGTGGCTACGCCGCGCTTGCTTCATGTACCTGTAAACAGCTGCATGGAAACCCATGCGAAGCGAGTCAGCGCGGAGACCCGGATGCTGGACACAACCGCAAAAAAACTGACCCGTGACTGCGCCGTCAATACGGTGCAAGGTACACCGGCGTCGGCCGCCGCCCGTTGACGCGGACGAGTGCTAGCGAGGGAGCATTCGGGAGTCCAGCCTGAGCCCCGGCCACGCAATCAGTGGACATACCGGGATGCTAACAGATGAAACGTGCTAGTTACTAATTAGCGAAGGAATGTCAAGATCCAACAGCAGCACATACGCACGATCGTCTAACGGGAGCCCACGATCTCGCGATCCGCGATGTTGAGTCCTTGACAACGCCTCCGACTTGATCTAATGAGTCTAGGCTCGCTGGGAGATCTTGATGGCGATGTATCGTGTTCTGTGACTCTGTGGGCGCGAGTTCGGTAGTATCCTGTTGTTTAGTGGGACATGAGCGGCGAGCTCGCGCCGCCGGTGTGCGTGGAAATATGGCTAGTGCCGCTTCGGGGTGAGATGGGTGGCGGCGAGCTCCATAGGAGACGAGTCCAGTGCCCTGCGTGCGCGCGCAGGTCAGATACTTTGGAGATGAACGCGGGCGCACCCTCTCGTACCACTATGACGGAGATGCATCTGCCGCGCCCTCGGCGATCTCTTTCATGCGGACGTACGGCGCGGGGGGGACAGTGATAGCAAGGCCCGGGGCGGCGACGAATAGGCCGACGTCCGGCGGAACGTTCACGATATACGGAAGACACCTGAGACTTCTCCCGAGTGTAGACTCGATGCGGCGCCTCTGCTCTGCGCCAACCGAAGAGTCACAAATGTCACGGCTCTGCCGCTAGCGCACTCAGATCTCGCCATACACGTTGCACTCTTGAGCTGGCCGCGCAGGAAGTTGACGGCGCGATACGAGCGCGGGAGGCGGAGATAGCTTCATACTGCACGACTATAACAAACGGATCAGTGAAAATGCCACTTTCGCGCAGTAGAGAATCCACTCGCCACGTACAACAGACAACAGACAACGGACGAAAATTCGTCCGAGTTCCATCGCAATCGCGATGTACGTACGTCCGGGGCCCAGGCAGTCGAATAAGCAATTAGGAGCGCCGCGGCTGATCAACTTAGTTGTGTGTGGTCGAGTCGGCCCAATCAGCGGAGAATTCCGGCGCTGAATATTGAACCATGTGGGTTAGCGAGGGAGGGACGAGACGCCACGGCTGCACGCACCTCCGAAGTGGGCAACACGATGACAGATAAACGACAGCAGATCTAGACGAATCAGAGATCAGAACCCCGCGCACGGACACAGATTATTTGATATTAATTCTCACCGCTATATCGGCTTGTGATAGCGGCCACATATGATGCATCCGTTGCGGAAGGCCGCCGTCCGCGGGCCTCGTCTTGGGAGCACCAGGGGCGCGCGGCGTGACGAGGCCATCGCATAGTTTGCGGCGAGGACAGTCCGCCGCGCCCGAGAAAAAGCTGCCCGCAAGCGAACAAGCACCTATGTAATGCTGATCGATTTAGCCTCGGGTTGTGAACGCTTGTTGTCAAAACGCGAGACTTACGAAGGCGGTGTCAAATACGCGGCGCAGTGGAGGATACCACAACGGCGGTTAACGGCCCCTGGCGTATCGTAGTGATGCTAGGCAAGCGGGGCTTCGAGTATCTCGATTGTAGTCTGTTAGGTACGTGGGTCCGCGATCTTGAAGTGCGGACTTGGCTTGAAATGTCCGGTAACGCCGGGCGGAGCCGTCCAAGAATGCACCCGTCCGATCGACTGCGTCGTGTCAGTCACGAGGGACACCCGAGATGCATGCTTACAATATTCACAGAACCGAACCGGGTGCTACGAACGCGAGACTGGCAACAACGCGCGACAACGCGGCACGGAACTGTCCGCACGTGCCATTTCGCGCGGCCTATGCCCCTGGTCGGCATGCATCGCCCTTTACATTTCGGAGAACCAGCTCAATGTACCGCACGTTGTAGAAGTAACTCTGGGAGCTTAAGGTGTCAGAAACGGTCTGGGACGATGCAGGGACGACCCTGATACTCACCATGATACTGTACGCAAATGACGGAGTAAGTCTCGACCCCATCAATGCTAGGAGCGCGCCGAGCCCTTCTGAGCGGAGGCGCGGCTGGGAATGCTAAGAACTTGCACGAAGGGCGATAATTTGATCTACGGAGGCTTGTCAGCACTGTCCGAAAACGCGATCTGATATCCACTTGACCGATCGTCCGGGGCGCGGGATGTAAGGGTGGGCATTGTGTGCGAGAGACTCGGAACACCTCCCGCAAAAAGGCGACATGTCCAAGACGACGCGGCCGCATCTGAATACGGCGAAATTGTCGATGATGACGGCAGGCGGTGCGCTCCTGAGGCCCGCCGTTCGCAACGGACTTGATCAGCCGAGGACCAACATGACGTTATGCAACCGAAACGGCTCACCGTGACGGGAGACGACCGCGGCTCGCCGCGCGTTTCAGAACGCGTTCAATGGCCGCTTCGAGAGGCGCGCATGACGCGCAGTTGAGACGGACCATAGGAGGGTGGCTGCCCCGATCTCGCGTGGCGATCGTCCGGCTCCCCTCGCTTTCGGAGGATACTTGTACTCCAGGTGCCAGTCGATCCTTGCCCTGTCACCTCAACAGTCAGCTCCACTCTCCTCGCGCGCGTGCAGCCCACAGTACGTACCTCACGGCCTTGTTCGGCCGCCCGTCTCGTCTCATACTGCTATAGCTCTATACCTCCCTCGACCACGATGGCCGGACAGCGCGCACATGGCGATACCCTCCGCGCCGACTATGCTCGGATGGAGATCAAGTTGCGGGGGGAGCTCAGGGGTCTGCTGAGCGATGGAATATGTGAGTAACGCATACTTGTTTGTGTGCATGCCCGAACTGAGTTGGCGCCCCCCTAGCGGACGTCGCGGGTGTCCCAGGCGCGAAGATGGCATATGCTATCAAGCGGTACTGCACGGGCGTGGTTCTGCGGTACCACGTGAAGCTCCTGGGCTGGCCCGACGACATCGTCTTCGACAACCTCAGTCGCATCACGGGCAAGGAGCGCATCTTGCGCCTCCTCGAGCTCTGGAAGAGCGGCGCGATGTGCTTCGTCCCGATCACGGACCCGGCCGAACTCGCCGCGGCGAGGAGGGATCCCCTCTTGGTCGCCCCGGCTCTTCTTCACCGCGGCATTCCGCCGAAGCGCTATCGCAGCGATTTGGGTAAGCAACGCCGGCGCCCAAAGTCAAATCCGAGCAACTTACCACCGAGGCACCCCCGGGACGGGCCGACGTCGGCTGAGACGGTGACGGACGAGGCAGAGGCGATGGCGGAGCTGGAAGGCGGGATGGCCGAGCTGACGGACATGCAGCTCGTGCTGCTCAGGCTCGCACGTCTGCCGCTTGTGTGGCCGGAGTTGGGGATGTAGACGTCGTGTAGATTGTGGTACCTTACGTTTGCTGAAGGCGCATACACCGCACTATTACATCTAAAACTATTTTCTCTTATTGCTGAAGGTGTGGCCGCGACGGGGGTGGTGGGCGGACGACAGAGCCGGTGGTGGTAACGAAGAGAGGACGAACGAGGAGCAGCTGCCAAACAGGGAACTCGTCTGGCTCGCACGGGCGCTTGATTCTCGAATCTCGTTTGCCGCGCTCCTCGCGCTCATACGACCTGGGCTGTACATAAAATATTTCCTGGGCTCGCTCGCTCAGCTGTAATCAAACACAAAATTCATTTTTATTCCACTCTTATCCGACGGTCTACATTGAAGGTGTATTCGTCCAATTCGGACTGGTTTCGCCAAACAGTCCCGGAGACCGCGGCGCTCACTCTCGTCGGCTATCGCTAGCTATCTTGGCCCACAGATTTGAACTTTGGGGCGGCATTTCCCTCTGCGTTGCAACTCTCACAACCTCGGACTTGTTCATACACGTCCTTACCGTCGTAGGCTATCCTGACAGTGTAATTTTCGGGTGCAGACAATCGCCACCACAGTTTGGGCGAGCGGGTAGCGGCCCGAAAGCCGCGGGAGAGAGGAGCTCTCCTGCGCGGGCGCTTGCTTGTTGGAATCCGCGATTCTCGTTCCCCGCGCCCTCTCGCACTTGTCTCTCCTCCACCACGACGCCGATCGCGTGCGAAATTGGCCGCCGCGCTCGCACACCCCGCCTCACTCCTGCAATAATCTGATGGATATTTTGAGCAACGCGGATGGGTTGCATTGACGGGATGTTCCTTTGATTTGTATATTACGGCTATTGGCAGGCACTCTCGAGTCTCGAAGGCCGCATCGCTCGCACTCGTGTCCGCCGGCCGTAGCTACGCATATAAATTCAAATGTCATGGTATAATATATTTCCGAGAGTCGGAACTCTTACTAGATGCATTTTTGCGACCTGTATTGGACTGGGAGGGTGGTATCCATATGAGAAGCAGGGGTGCTGCTGCTCATATTGTTACCTCCCTCATTCGCACTCCATCTGGATGCGGATGGGGGATGCGGAAGTGCCGGATTGAGTGATTCAGGGTCCGTGTTGCTGCTCACGAGCGCAGACGGGCTGATGCACATCATGAGAAGTGAGGGAAGATCCAGAACAATGGACAGGCTGAAAATGCGGACATGTAAGATATCCATGGCAATCCGTGAGCCCTCCGAGGTACACGCGAGTTCACTAATTTGTTTGATCTAAGCTGCGGAGTTCGGTTGAGATGGGGCACAAACTCTAAGCTTAGCACACAGGCGAAATCCAGTCTATTGGACGCTGAACACAGTAGTATTGTATGACATGCAGACAGTACTACAGTAGGCTACCTTCTATCCAGAACAGACGGTGGAGGGAGTGGGAGGAGGGGATTTGTTTCTCTCACCAGGCAGCATCACGTACGGGAGGGGCGGCAGCCCACATAGCAGCCCGTGGACGGCGGCTGCCACCGACCCTGACTGCGGTTGCACCAGAGGCCGTCCGCGGCCTGTACCCGGCAGACCTGCATCAAGCAGCCAGACCGACAAGACCGGGCCTCGCATCAGACCCGCAGACGCACGCAAGAAATGAAGGTAGTGTACGTACAGCAAACTTCTCCACTTTTCCCCCACCGCCCACCCTGTCGTCTGCGACGCTGCGTGCAAGATGTACCGCACAAGAACTTCGACGATCGAGCTCTATGAGGCGAGCAACGCACGTCTTCCCCACCCTGCCACTTGCCTGCCAAGGTCCGTGCGACCTAGAGCCGCCACGGTGCCTCAGCTCTCCTCTTTGCGAAGCTCGCATACTCACACTGGCACTGGCGCGGGAGATCCCTCAAAACCGCGAGCATGCACGGGGTGCAGGTACGTCGATCTGTATCATAACAGAGAGGTCAGCACTTATTTCTCGCGGCCTCCTCTGCTGGCGCGGACCTTTCTTGCAGATATCCCTTCCCTAGCTGGCAGTTTCGCCCACCGACTTCCCGTGCCGACTTCCACGCCGCCACACCACGCCGCCGCCCTCGAATTCCGCGCTGCCACCCACTGTTCGTGCACCCGCGGCACACATGGTATAAGCCGAAGCAGTACGTCATGTGCGCCGTATAGTCGCGCGCCCGCCGCTAATCTCACGTCGTGTTGCGGCGATCTTCCGTTGCATCTCAGGCCTCCGGATTCATATGCAATCTCTGTCGGGCAGGATGTAGGATGGAACGGGGCAGCTGGAAGGCGGGAGTTGAGCATCAGGCGACAAGATCAAGTGCTGCGAGAACGTCGAAGGTACGTACGTGCCCGTCTCCTCACATCTGGTCTTTGTCGCCTGACAGCCCGGCGGCAGAGTCGGACCGCAGACCGCACGTCCTGCCAGGCAGCGACAGCGGGCAGTCAGTTTCTGGTATGGGCGGCGACCCCGGCTCGCTGGACGGAAGTCAAAAGTCGCCGCAAGTTGCAGACAGGCTCGCGGCTCTGCGGGCACGCGGTCTCGACTGCTCCTCGGAGTCGCGAATAGTCAGGCACCCGCAGCATCCTCTCGCCCGCGCGAACACGAGATATACGGTATGTACTCGCGTGACTTCTGTGCACGCGATATGCCTGACCAGCGCTGCACAACTCGCAGCTCGGCGCTCGAACCCTCCCTGCTGGATGTGATCAACGCGTGCACACGAAGACGATACGGTACGTACTTGCCTCGCAACGCGAACGCGGACCTGACTCCATGGTCGTTGGCGGGCTCGCAATTCACGGTACGTACTTGTGATGCTCCGAGTTCGGCGCACGCCCGAGGATGCGGTGCGCGGCCTCGCAGGGCAATCACCGGCGAGATCTGGAGATTTGAAGTAGATACGCGAGATCAGTGTCGATGTCGAGGTCGCGCGAGAGTAGGAGCGACGTGCGAGAACGTACGAGTCGCGGTCGGCGCAGCTGTTCCGCGCGGAGGACGAGATGCGCAGCCCGAGCACCACAGAGTACGGCAGCAAGAAGCAAGTTCGAGGCGCCCACGCACTCCTCCGCGCCAAGTTCGCAGAATAGGCGCCCGCCCGTGGACCCACTACACTCGACGTTCGCGACGGAGGCGTCCTGCGGCGCCGTCCTCTTCCGCACTGCGAGGGCGTGTTGGGGGTTTAATAGAGAATGTATGGGACGTAGAAATATATTTTATGCGCTCGAAACAGCACGAACAAGTCCGTTCTCGTTCGTAACAAAAGTGTGCTTTCCGGACCCTACTGAGACCCATCTGCCGTCCCCCGTCGTAGTACTGTTGTCCCCCGTGCTCCCCCGTGGTAGTACTGCTGTCCCCCGTG